TGTTAAACCATTAAAAGAATTAAAACATATTAAGCCAGTAGAAAAACCCTTTCGAGTAAAATCAATTCATGGCTATAACGATATTGACAGGAAGTGTACAATGCATCTTTTTAACACAAATACAACATTTTTCTTACTACCAAACCTTACGAAATTTGACGGTATAATTGGACTTGATTTACTAAACCAAAACAACGTTATATTAGATTTCAAAAACAAGAAGTTAATAACAAACTGCACTTCCGAGACTATTAAATTTCTAAAATGCCCAGCCGTAAATTTTACGGATGTCAAAGAAATAGAAACCCCTCAAGCCATAACGACAAACTTTCAAACAATGCTCAAGAAACGAACAGGAGTCTTTGCGGAACCAAATGAGGCACTCCCGTATAATACCAACATCATTGCCACCATTAGAACAGAAAATGAGGATCCCATATATTCCAAACTATACCCATACCCAATGGGCGTATCGGAATTCGTAAACGCAGAAACTCAAGACCTGTTAAAAAACGGTATAATACGTCCATCTCGTTCACCGTACAATAACCCCGTTTGGGTTGTAGATAAAAAAGGTACTGATGAACAGGGAAGGAAAAAGAAGCGTTTAGTCATAGACTTCAGAAAACTTAACCAAAAAACAATAGACGACAAATATCCAATCCCCAATATTGCCTCTATCTTATCCAACTTAGGAACAGCAAGGTATTTTACAACCCTAGATCTGAAATCCGGATTTCACCAGATCTTACTTGCTGAAAAGGACAGAGAAAAGACAGCCTTTTCTATAGGAAGTGGAAGGTATGAGTTTTGCAGGCTCCCTTTTGGCTTGAAAAATGCACCCAGTATTTTTCAAAGAGCCATTGACGATGTGCTCAGAGAGCAAATCGGAAAATCTTGTTATGTTTACGTCGACGACGTAATAATTTTTTCTGAAAACATGGAAAACCACGTCAAACATATCGCCTGGGTCTTAGATAAGCTATACGAGGCCAACATGAGAGTTTCGCCAGAAAAATCACACTTTTTCAAAGAAAGCGTTGAATATCTAGGTTTCGTGGTCTCAAGTAAAGGTATAAAGACATGTCCAAGTAAAGTTGAAGCGATTCGTAACTACGAATTACCAACAACTCTGTTTAACGTCAGATCATTCCTCGGCCTGGCAAGCTACTATAGGTGTTTTATCAAGGACTTCGCATCTTTGGCAAAACCTATAAGCGACATCTTAAAAGGCGAAAACGGCAAAGTTAGCGCAGGACAATCAAAGAAAATACCAGTAAAATTCGACGAGAGTCAACTCACGGCATTTGAGAAACTAAAAGAGGTTCTCGCATCCGAAAATGTAATGTTACTCTACCCCGACTACAAGAAAGCGTTTGATTTAACAACTGATGCTTCGTCCTTTGGTCTAGGGGCAGTCTTATCCCAAGGTGGAAAACCAATCACCATGATATCAAGGACATTGAAAGATAGGGAACTTAGCTTTGCAACAAATGAAAGAGAATTACTTGCTATAGTCTGGGCCTTGAAAAGCCTCCGAAACTATCTGTACGGAGTAAAAAATTTAAATATCTTTACGGACCACCAACCCCTGACGTTTGCAGTATCTGACCGTAATCCAAACGCAAAAATCAGGCGTTGGAAAGCTTTTATAGACGAGTATAATGCAAATATCTATTACAAGCCAGGGAAGGAAAACTACGTTGCTGATGCGCTATCGCGGCATAATATTCATGCCTTGGAAGACGACGCACAGTCAGACAGAGCTACAATGCATAGCGAAGTATCACTCACGTACACTATAGAAACAACAGACAAACCAATCAACTGTTTCCAAAACCAAATTATAATTGAAGAAGATAGAGTAGCCTCTGATCGTACAGTCATTATATTCGGTAAAAAAATCCGACATACAATTCACTTCTCAGACAGAAATTCGTTAATCGAAAGAGTTTACGATGTAGTCAAAAAAGACGTCGTTAATGCAATCCATTGCGAGTTACCAGTACTGGCATTCATACAACATAAACTAATAGAAACTTTCCCAACAACAATATTTCGATATACAAAACATATGGTAAATGACATTTTTGACAAGAACGAACAAAAAGAAATAACTGTAACAGAACACAATCGAGCCCACAGAGCAGCTCAAGAAAATGTAAAACAGATTTTACAAGACTACTTTTTTCCAAAAATGACAAAACTAGCTAACGAAGTGGTTGCAAATTGCAAAATCTGTAAAACAGCTAAGTACAACCGTCACCCACAAAAACAAATACTTGGAGAAACTCCTATACCTTCCTATGTGGGTGAAATGCTACACATTGACGTATACTCAACTGATAAAAAATACTTCCTTACATGCATAGACAAATTTTCAAAATTCGCAACCGTTCAACCCATTGCTTCAAGGACAATAATCGACATACAATCGGCAATTTTACAACTTGTAAATTTTTATCGACATATCAAGACGATCTATTGCGATAATGAACCCTCCTTAAAGTCCGAAACAATAAAATCACTATTAAACGGCCAGTATGACATTCAAATCGTAAACGCCCCACCACTCCATAGTACTTCAAATGGACAAGTCGAGAGATTTCATAGCACCCTCAGCGACATCGCAAGATGCCTAACAGCTCAAAGAAAAATTACAGATACCGTTGAAACGATACTCCAAGCAACTATTGAATACAACAACACAGTTCACTCGGTAACAGACAAACGTCCAATCGACATAATCCACTCATCCTCCCCAGAACTTAAAATTGAAATAAGAAATAAAATTCAAAAAGCACAGCAGCTCCAAATAAACAGGGTAAATGAAACAAGACACGATAGACAATTCCAAGTAGGCGATACAGTTCTTGTAAAGGCAAACAGACGTTTAGGGAACAAATTGACACCACTGTACAATGAAAACAAAATTGACGCAGACTTGGGGACAACGGTCTTAATAAAAGGGAGGGTGGTCCACAAAGACAACCTAAGGTAAACAAAACATTAAACCCTTTTTATTTCTTTTTATCTTTAGGATTTGGGCTATAATTCTCTTCGCCACAACGGTAGCGGCGAAACTTACCGATTATACGAACACAGATTACATACCGATCTCAGACGGATATGTAACCATTTGGACGGATTTCCAATATTTAAAACATTCAACTAATCTTACTCTATACTCAGCAATAGTAGAGGACACGAAGAAATTAAGACAAAATTTTCCACGATCACATATGAGACAGTTATTAGACACAGATATACAACATATAGAAGCACTAATAGCCACAGTAAATATCCATCATAGACATGCTAGGAGCATTAATATGCTAGGCACCGTTCTTAAAGTCGTAGCTGGCACGCCAGACTCCGACGACTTGGAAAATCTTAAATTTACACAGAAAGAACTTGTAGAATCAGAAAACAGGCAAGTAACTATAAACACAAAAATGCAAGAACAAATAAATAAGCTAACCGACACAGTAAACCTCATAACAAAAACAAAGCAAATAGATACAGAACATTTGTATGAGACACTGCTCTCAAGAAACAGAATAATTATTTCAGAACTAGAAACCTTGATGCTATCAGTAACACTTGCAAAGGTTGGAATTGTAAACCCCTCCATATTAGATTCTTCTGACTTAAAAAATATTGTTAATGAACACCCTATAAATATCACTATTACTGACTTAATGGAAGTATCTCAAGTTAAAGTCTTGCTAAATAATAACTTTTTACACTTTATTATAAGATACCCTAAGCCTAACATAGTATGTAAAAAATTAACAATATACCCTGTCCAACACGATGGCATTGTAATCAATTTCGCCGAAGACTACGATATAGCTGTTTGCGACAACCATGTAATATCAATAGGAAATTGTAGCACAGCCCTCACAACAACGTTCTGTAAGAAATTACCCTATACAACGTGCGCGCAACAACTGCACTCAGGTGGCACTGCACATTGCTCAACTCGACCCAGCCATCTTGAACCTCTAACCATCATCGACGATGGCGTTATCATCATCAACGACAGAGTGGCTATAGTTGACGAGCAAATGGTGAAAGGGACATTCCTCCTTACCTTTGACAACGAGATAAAGGTAAACGGCACCGTATATAAAAATCCAAAAAAATACGTGAGGAAATCCCCGAGACCAGCGGCATCCACGCTTCTAAATATAACGGATCATCAGGAAATACCGAGCCTGCCGTACCTACAGAAGCTAAGCATAAAAAACATCCGGGACATTGCTCAAATAGAAGAACAACTGGTAAAAAGACCAATAATATCTGGACTAACCGTGGTCATCATTCTACTTTCCTGCTACGCCTCAATGAAACTTTATCAAAGACATCAGAGGAGCAAACGTCAACTTGATCTTCAAGCGGTAATTAACAGTTTGAAGAACTCCGAGGACGTCATTCACCTAAGTGGGGGAGGAGTTAACACAATTGATCAGCAGAACGTAAATATTGAAGCTGACCATGCATTCTCAGCATAAATGCTTACGACACCAGCTGTCTCAAGCGGACATTGCACAACAGCGGAAGCGTCCACGCGCAACAATGTTGCTGACCAGCGACCTAGTACTGTATGCAATGCCAGCGTTTTCAGGGCTTAGGGCTAGCTTCTATTATAAGAACGATTGTCAAATAGAGTTAGTTGATTTTTGGAAATAAAGAACGTCGGTCATCGCCACGGAATTCACAAAGTCTTCTCATTTTTCGAATAAGTGTTAACGCCGATACTCCGTACGCGCTTAACATAATTTCGAAATCTTAAAATAAATAACTTATATATAAATTATTGTATTCACTGATTACATTTCACTCAAAAAAAATAATTAAAAAAAAAATTAATTTATATAAATAATGAGAAACTGTATAAAAAAGTATTTTTCTATAGATTTAGTTATTTTGTTGCTTTGCAACTCAGCGGCTCGTGTGGTGACTGCTCAGGCGCCAAGTCAAAAGGTTTCTGGCAGCTATCGCCGCTGCTGGTGCCGCCGCTGACGCTTGTGTATGTGACGATGGCGTCGCTTCTTCTTATGCCTGCGTTGCTGATTGTTGTTGCTGGTCTTTGTGTTGGGCTTGCGGCGCCTGGTAATGCGTTGCTGTAAGCCAACCTCGTCCGGCATTTGGGCCGTGGACTGAGTGGTCACCGGCTGCTCCTTGACATACTCGAGATTGCGCCAACGTCGCGTACTGGTGCCATTGACGATGGATGTCGTTGTGGTGGTGGTTGTTGTGGGCGTCGTGAAGGTGGAGCTCGCCTGCGGTATCACAATGATATTCTCTCTGGTCGGCTCCTGGGGGAAGAGGCCGCGAAATAGCAAGAACTTCTTGAACAGATCTCGCCCGCTGCCAACATCAGTGCCGCCAGCACTGCGGCCCGCCGACTGCGGCAGACGATAGCCTGTACAAAGAATAGGAATAGGAAGCTGCAATTGATACTCTTAGAAGTAGATCGAGGATCGCACCGATTCGTATGGTTCCAGCCATTTGCAGCTGGAGCAGCAGCAGCGCTAGCATCCATTTGCCTACGGATCTCGGTCGCGTGGTGGGTCCGGCTCTAGCTGGAGCGTCACTTGGCATCGTTTATCGATTCTAGCACTGAGTTCTGTGAGTTGGCTGGGCAGGGAAACGACGCTTTTATAGATGAGTCCATGATGCGGGATGCAATTAAAAAGTTTCACCCGAAATCTAATTGCGTGCTTGCGTGCGCGACGATGCCTTGACATGGTATCATTAGAGGCAATGGGCTGAGCTGAGCTGTTGAGTTGCAGCCATGACTGGCGGGCACGTAAATCAAGCGTGTGTATCTATGAGTTGTTCACACACACACACACATACACTGAGATAAAGTAAGTAGCTGAGGCACAAGTGAAAGTTGTAGGCACAGTAAATCAAATCTAATAAACTCGACAATAAACATGCGCACATAAATCTCGGAAGGCGGCACGAACGAAAAACTGGCAAATCAAGTTGCAGGCCAAACAACTATGCACACACTCACACACACACACACACAAGCACACATACATAGAGTTTGTATTTGTATCTGCGAGATACAATACTTATGGCTGGCTAAAGCAACAGCCCGAGCGTGTTGTATAAATAAATAAACGAATTTATGTTTTCACAGCCAGCCTCTATCTTTTGTATAAGCATGCGTGTGTGTGTGTGTGTGTGTGGCATATTTTTTTATGCACATATTTATATTACATGACCACTTTTGCGGCCGAAGGATGTGCGGCAGATAGTGTCAGTGCGTGAGACACAGAGGCAAATAACTTTAACATAATTCACTTAAATCTTTTCGGTTTAATCTTGAAAAGTGTTTCACACACACACACACGCATACACTGACACACACATTCAGACAGAGCTTGACAGAGAGACAGTCAGGCAGAGGGCGAGAGCTGCAAGTCCTGACAGTCAAGTACATTGTAGTACACACACATGAGAAGAGAAATCATGAGCTGCCCAGCAGCAGCAAATGTATCTGTATCTGTAAATGTATCTGTATCTGTAAATGTATCTGTACCTATGTACATCTGCACAGAATGTAGCTGTCGTAGCTCTGCTTCCCTTCAACTTTTGGCGCCCAAGTCAAAATGTTTTCTTGTAATTTCGCAAAGTGTTGAGTCAATAATCAACAGGATCTCATAGGGCTCTTAACCCGAGGCGAACTGATTAACAAAATACAAGAAAAAATTGTGATACGATGCAAAATCTCATAAATTTTCATATCCGAGAAGAGAAGAGAATATATATAGAAGTATATATATGTATTTATATTTAAATATATATATTTTTTTATATATATATAATAAATGTTTTTTTATATATAATTTGCTTTTGAATCGAGGTTTTCATATCAAATGACTCGAAATATTCTTTTTGTATTAATTTCTATTCGACTTTGAATTTGCCATCATTTATAATTTTGTTGTGGTTGCTGATGCTGCTGCTGCTGCTGCTATTGCTTTTGTTGCTGTTGTTGCTGCCTCTGATAAAATTCAATTATAACATTTTCTATTAACTTAAAAGCTTCTTATATTTATTTAATTTGTTATTGTAGCTTGGCTTGCAGATGTTGCTGTTGTTGTTGTTAGTTTTCTTCGGCTTGCCAATTATTGTTGCTGTCAAACGCACACAGACTCGCTCTCGCACACACTTACACACACGCACATACGCATACATATACATACATAGATTTTATGAGTGCTGCCATCAATTAAGAGTTCTTTGGCAGCTGTGCGTCTGGAGGTTGCCCTCTTTCTCTGGGCTGCTGCTGGCCGAAATCTTTTGGAAAATAGTTGACATATTACAGCCAGGCTAAGTGTCTAATTGTCTGACTGACTGGCTGGCTGGCAGGCTGCCTGACTGTCTGGCTGGCTGTCTGATTGCATTTATCTGAATATCCATTTTCATTTGCTGGCATATTTCAATATTCACGGCTCACTCCAAGCTGCCCAATTTCAATTTATTAGCACTTCTTCGGCCTGCGTCCTTCGTCTCCTTATTGTTATTGCTGTGGCTCTGATTGAATTGTTATGCAAGCAAATTAAATCGATCTACTTAAAATTTGAACGAAATGCATTATGGCATCGAGCTCGCCCGCCCAGAGTCTGGGGCGTACGCTTAATAAGTCCAAATGGACTCCGTTTACAAACGGAAAATATGCGTAAATTAAGCCTCAAAGGCAAATATGCAACGTCTTAGCTAATAATAAGCACTTCATTTCTACAACATTTGCCGTTGTTATTAACAGATTTGTGGCTTTTGCTACTCAAACTGCTGCTAATATCTTAAGTGCCAATCGAATACGAATTTCAATAAACAAACTTTTACTGAGGCTGGCTGAGGATGTCTTTGAGGGTACTTAAATGAATTCGAAACTCGTTTAAAATAGTCTATGCGGATATTCCTAGGCAATTCGAAGCGTACCTCAAATTAAATATCTCTGCAGCTATTTCCTGAATAGCTGAAACAGGCGTGCCAGAGATCGTAGATTAAATGTTTCCTTGATCAGGCCGACGAGCTGAGCCCTTTCGATCTAAACAACCCCTTCTTCTCTATCTTCCTGTATACCATACGATATATGATAACTCACTCCATTTCCATATTACCGATAAAAATCGATAGCTTGAGTAGCTGGACTAAGAGAAGCGGAGCATGATGGGAATAACAGCTTTGCGCTAGAGTCCAGGTATCTTCTAGTCAGGCATTCCTGACGACAGTCCTCTAACTTGTTAAATGTTGACTTGAAGACATCTTGACATTCTTTACTGACTAAATAACTGTGAAAATATCTTATCTACCAACTGATTGCTTGGTTCATCAGGCAAATCTCGGAATAACGTTTCATGTTCTTAAAGTCAAAGCACTTAAGGCCTTAAAAAAACCCTCTAACCATTGCTACACACTGAAGATTAAACATAAGATAGACAGAGAGAGAGAGAGAGGCAAAAGTGAGAGACAAAGAGAGAAGAGTAAAATCGAAATCATCAACATTTCTTGATGCAAAGGCTCAACTTTCGACTCAAATTCTTTGCCCAAGCGTATACTTAATATCAGCAGCAGTGGTCGAATTTGTTTAAAAAGAAAATTAAATACAGATTTTGAACTGTTTTATTTGCCTGAGAAATAATTTATATTAAATAGAAGTGAAAAAAAAATATGGAAAATAAATATAATGCTAGAAGCTAGTCAAGTAAATGCTGTGCATGGCCAGTCAGCTTGGATGGGGGTCGTTTGGGTCTGGACGCTCGTTTAGAGGTACTGCATCCGGCGAATGTTCTTGGCAAAGCCCATTAGGGGATTTCTGGCCTCATTGATAGCTGCTACGGCGGCGAAGGCTGGACGCTGCCTCAGGCGCTGGGCAAGCAGCGGGAAGCGGGTGTCGCCCATCTTCGGGATGTCGCTGCTGGGCAGTGCTTCGTCGGCGGCATCTGTGTCCCTTGACTGGTCCTGTTCCAGGGGCTCGACGCCTAGTGCGGCATCATCTTCATCCTCACGAATGGGCACGGCCGGGTTGCCCGCTGTTAGCTGACGAAGCATACGCAGATTGAGGGGCACATAGCCGACCGCATTGTTGCCTAGGCTGACGGGCACCAGAGGCACAGCGCCGCCGAGACCATTGATACCATTGAGACGACTCAAGCCATTGATGCCAGTGAGAGCATTGGGACTGGTCAGACCGCCAGCGAAGCTCAAGCCACTGCCGTAGAGCTGGGCGGCATTGAAGTCGATCATATCCTGGCCCTGGCGCGTCTGGAAGTACTGCACGGGCAGCAGCTGTGGCGCGCGTAGCAGCTCATTGGGCGCAAAGCGGACGCCGCCGGCGGCAGCGGGCGGGTTATTGATGTTGGTGTTGTTGATGACCACCGACGTTAGGTTACTAAAGTTTGGTATACTTATGTTCCTCCTGTGATGGTGGAAGAAGCGCGCTTCTTCTGGATTCAGCTCCGCCTCCTGCTCCGCCAAGACGGGCACATTGAACAGCAGCAGCCGCTGCCTCTGGGCAGGTGTCAGCTCAATCTCGGCATACTCCAGCTCGGGCTGGGTCAGCTGTTTGCCCTGCTGCTGCTCGGCATAGAGGGTCGATGGAAAGTGTTTGGCCTGCTGCTGCTGCAGCAGCGCCAGTGCTGCCCGCTGCAGATTGGGCCGTGCGAGCGGCGTCTCAATGTACACATCGTTCGAGTCGAATGTGTGCCACATGGGCTCACCAGACAGGGGCACGGGGCCCACGCTCGTGGCGCTCGTCTGCACGTGTCGCTGTCTGCCCACGTTGGCCGCCCGCCCGCCATCGATGCCCAGCCAGCTGATCACGACCAGCGCCAGCAGCAAATTCCGTATTCCTTGCACTCGCATCATTTCTTGCTGTTCTTTGTTCTCGGCTGGCTCGCTGTGGTCTCTGCTTGGTTACAGCTCGTTCGCCTGGCTTATATAGTTGAGCGCCCGTGCGCCTCAGCTGCCACAGCCAGGCTAATGAGCGCCATTTATTCGACGGTTATCGCCGACGCTTATCAGCGGGTCGAAGCGTTCTGGCTTTCATCGCGATAGCCAAGCGCGGCCATTAATTGTGCTTTGCGCAACTTTTGCCTGATCTAAGGCCAGCAAAGAACTTGACGCTAATTGCGGCAAGCAGCCGAAATGGAAGCACTGGAGTGCACGAGTGCTGCAGCGACTCTTTGACATTATATATATAGAGCGATAGAGCTATATATATATAGATATAGATATATCCTTAGCTAATTGAGTTATGCGTTCGGCCTGACTGCAGCTTGGGCTAAGTCGCAAGCGATTTCCGTTTGTCTTGCCCTTTGGTCAAGATAAATATATTTATATATATAATAGATCATATATATATACATAGATAGAGCTGCTGTTCCACAGGCTGCGCTGCTGGTTTTAGTTCGAAGTCCATCCGACAATTTTGTTATGCCATTTTCATGCTAGAGCTAACGGATTGCTGCTGGGTGGGGTGAGGCGTGTGCTTACTACTGCATTACTATCTCCACCTCTATAAATAGCCCTCTCTCACTCTATCTTTCGCGCCCTCTCTCTCTCTCTCTCGCTCGGTGTTT